CAATCAAGTCATTATTTTTACTCAACTGCATCTCAGCCAGCCTGTTTGACCAAATTGCTTTTGCCGAAATCAAAGGTCCTCACTCCTGATATTTAGAAATTTCAACCTGCATAAGTCTGTTTAAACTTCAAACAACTCCCATGTGCACATTCTCTACTCTTTGATGGGTGCTCACTACGTACTCAGCAACCATGCAGACTACTGTTCTTTAGGAATTTCTTGTCTGGTTTTATATTAAGTAATTTTCACCACCAATGCCATTGAAAACATTGCAAGTCTTTCCTGGCAGTATATTTTGCCTATGTGCATCACAGTGTCAGCTCTAATAGGTTAGAGATTTTATCCGTTTTGATAATTGATGTACCACCAGTGCCTAGCGCATTGTGCCCAATAAATTTCACTGGATGACAAGTGTGTTTAGCTAGCTGATATTAACATGGAATTGGTCTCAAATCTTTTCAGCACAAGTAAGCTACCATTAAGTACTTATCCCTCCCTCACACCCTGAAACTTGGAAATAGTAAAATAAAAGGCCCTGTGCAGGTTTAATTAATAAATCCACCCAGCGGCATAGAGCAGATTTGGAAAATCACCTGAAAGGAAAATCGTTCCCTAGCCAGAACTTGAATATTACCTGATTGATGGTGTCCACATACCTAAGAGAAAAATGTGTCCAATCAAGCAGAGTTAATAGATACAGGAGCTTAGAAAAGAATATAATCACCTTGGCAAACGTGGAAAGTGCCCATCTGAGTACTATCTAGGGGAGAGGACATCCCACCCATTTGAATATTTCCAGTCCTAATGGCAAAGTTATCTCTGGAGGACAGAGAGGGTTTTAGCCAAAGACCTTTGAGCTTTCTGGTACCTTTGGCAAGCCCATTCCTAAGATGAGACAGATGTATCACGCCATCTTAGCCTGATGCCAGTAACATTCCATTCTACCATATCCCCTCATTCTGATTCCACACTCACCAGGCAACCTTATCATTGTGACCTGGTAGTCCACCTGCAGGGGAAAATGTCCTGCTTCTACAAGTTGGATTTATTTGACAGCTGGTGAGTTCGTGGCCCCTAATTTTGGTTTGATTCCCTATTTTGATTTACTATAGTGAGAAAAATGGACTTGTCATGTGTTATTTTAGTTAGCCTGAGACAACCTTTTGAGTACCTGACCATTCCTGGACGCTAGCTTGAAATGGGAGATCTCTGGACCTTCAAAGTGGAGACCAGGTCCCAGAAAGTGTCAACCTAATTCGCTCATGACCCAGCAAGTTCCCGCCTAGCTCTAAGCAGGTTTCCCAGTCTTCCCTAGACACATGCCACCACTTTTGGTTTCATTTTTCCTGCCTTCTGAGAAACTACTATTAAACTAAGGTTTGTGAAAGTGCTTCACAAGCTGGAAATACATTTTAAAAGGATTAAAATACTATTTACCATTTTAGGGATATATTTAGACTTTTACTGTGGAATACAATCATTTACTTGAATTAATTTCTTAGTGTCAAGGTTATCTGTCAATTTTAGGTTAAAATATTTTCATTTCATATGTCTGATTTTTCCCAATAGTGAATGGAATGAGATTCACCTATTTGAACATAATTACAAGTATACTCGTGACACAGCTTCTTTCTTAAGCTGGCAAATGGTTCTTCTTGGTCCTAGAAATGCAAACGATACTGATTGTCCCAATTATCCTTCCCTCTCTAAGTAACTCATATCTAATGGCTACCATCCTTCCTTCCTATTCTCTCCTAAAATAAGTGACAATTGACTGAGACATAACCTTGAGAAGGAAGCAGAGTCAAGCTTCTGTGTGTGATTAAATTCAGGATTTTTTTAAAAGATGGACATTCTTTTCCTTCTTTAGCCAGCCTTCTCGCGAGTCAAACTTGAAGCAATTTCATACACTGATGGTAAAGTAAGTCGGCATGCAAATGCACACCTGTCCTTGGAAAGTGTCATTTTCTAGGTCTCATGCATTTAAAATTGGGAAGCAGTCAACACTGGGTCTATTCTTATAGAAGTCATAGTTAGCTATTAAAAAGTCCCTCTTTGTTTTTCATACAAACTTTCAAATTAATGAGAGATCACCTTATACACTGTAGAACTATTCTTTGCTCTTTGGCCCAGTAACAGAAATTACAGGCCTTCCAATTAAAGTTAGACATAATTGCACTCTGGTTTCTCTTCAGATGACATAAATCTTTGACCTTTTACTAAAATAAGACATAATTAAACAAGTACATAGTAAGTGCCTAATAAGTGCACAATATAAATTTCACTGAGTAGATTAATTGAATCTAGCATTGTAAAGACTGTGATAATCCAATACTCTAATCAAGAAAAAAAAGATAATCCTTGAAGACATAACATTTACCCCAATGGGAAACGGAGCTTCATTTTCCAGCAATGAGGTTTTTGATCTGGACCCCGAAGTTATCTTTGGAACAGTTCCTACTGCAGCATTACTGGGAAGAAGCTGTAATCGAATTGGAGGCTGCATATTTCCCGGGGCAGTGTATGGTCGAGGAGTTGTCTAGACAATTAAGGAAAAAAAATTCCATTTAAATTAGTATCTTGACATGTTTCCAGAACCAATTAATAACTCAGCAAATTGCCTTGAGTAATTAATGGTGCCTTCTCACTGAACAGATTAAACTTTAATTATGTCCTTCCATTATACATACACTTATGACCCAAAGTATTTGTTAAAACATACGGTATGGAAGTCCTCTACATACCTAAATGCCACAATTATAGGGCATTTTAGATAAAGGAGATGTTCTCTGTTAGGCTCCTGTATTTTATTTGCACTGAAAACTCACTGACAATTCCTAATTGATGTTGTACATAGAATGGCTTTGCTCAATTGAATGTTAAGTTGAGTAATGTTCCTATTTCAGAGATCTAAAGGGATATGATTAGAATGAACTCATTTCTGTTTAAATGTTTTCAACATCAACTCTAGCATGAGTCCTTTAAGTCTTAAGATTGGTGCTGAAGTAAATGCAAATAATATGATTCAAAAAGAGGGAAGGCAGATGCGTAACGCTAACCCATCACCATTTATTCAACCTCTTCCTTGAAATATTAAGAAAACAAAAATAAAAATAGTAGCTGGTGACTTCAAAAAACACTGTATAAGTGGAGATGTTTTCCAGGCTGGATATTTTCCATCGGCCCCTCTTCTTTGTCTTTTCTGTTCTGCTCTGGCTGTGGGGATTCATTCCTTTATTAAGGACCACATCAACTAACCCCAGGATTCCAGTTGGATTTGGCCAATGAAAGACACTAGCAGGAGATCAAAAGACTGGAGGGAAGGAGATTGGGGTCTTAATGCTCCTCGATCTTTCCCACTAAGGTCATGATGGGACAGCTGGTCCCTCCACCAAGGTCCACAACTCCTGTCAGGAAGTCCTCTCCAAACTGACAGGTACTGCCGGCTGGTTCCAGTAACTAATCCCTTCTTCTCCCCCTCAGGCCTAGGTGGTGTGGTTTCCCATCTTGCTCACCCCAGCATGCTTTGCATCCCTTGTTGGTTTTCCTTAACCTTGCCTGCATCTTTGTAAACAGTTTCTTTATTAAACCCTTCCTAATTACCCTATTTGTATAAGCCATCTGTTTCCTGCTGAGACCCTGACTGATGCATTTTCTAATCAAGAATGTACTGCAGAGAATACCAAAAGTGCCAGTTCGGAGCATAAGACGTGCCTTTTGGGGCACTGATAGAACATTGTAACTTTAGTATAAAGACCAACAATGTTTCAAAAATGGAAAAAACATGGCTTTGGGCCCAGTGGTTCTATTACAATACAATAGTAGAAAGCCTGTTAGGAATACTATGTGCAGATCTGGGCAAGAGAGTGTGAGAAGGATGGTATATAAATGATTCATGAATAAGGTTTATTACACTGACACTAAAGATTGGTGACAACAAATATTCAACTCTGGAAAAGTGTTGTATGAATACATACAAAATGGCAATGGGGAAGCTCCCACCACCAAAAATTGGTTTGGGTACCATCTTGACAGGCATGTCACATGTTGTTAAATCTTGGATTCTGTTAAGTCAACACTGGATTCCAACTCTAGTCACTATGAGGAGATTAAAAAGTAATTTTTAACATCTAGTGGCGATGCAAGACAATTAGTGCCAAATGAAGCACACAGACATTGCCAAAGGGGACAATAACAGCAAAATACCAGAGAACTAACAGAACTGAGAACTGAAAGCTATTTGAAATAAGTCAATGAGACCAGTAAAAATTAAAGTTTCACAAAAGCAGTTCTATTTTATCCAAATGTACAAGTAAAAGAAAACAGACGAGTAGAAAAGAGGAATGGTACACTTGTACATCCATGTCCGAAGAGCCAGTTGTGAGCCAGACGCGGGAAGGGTAGCAAAGACAATATTCCCCAATGTCTATTTTCCTTTCTTCACGGAATAGAATATTTATCCAGAACATTGCTCTCCCGAATAAAGACTATATTTCCCAGCATCTCTTGCAACTCTGTCTAGATGTATGCCTCAGTTTGGGCCAGTAAGATGTGAACGGAAGTTATACCAGAACTTCTAGATCATGCCCTGAGAAGGAAGAGCTGTGTCCTCACTGTCCGCTTATCCCCTTCCCTCTGGCTGGAAGAGCCACAGAGTGATATACAATTGTGGCTCACGTGGATGAAGGCAATAGACTAAATTTAGCAGATCACTGGCACAAAAGGAGTCTGAGATTTTGACGACTTCTAGAGCAGAAATGGCACACGAGCTGAGACACGTGTGTGTGGGTATAGGGAGTGCGTCCTTATGTTAAAGTCCTAACTGTGGGTTCAGTACATAAACGTTCACAGGAAGACAAGTGGATGGACTAGAGCAGCATTTGATCTAAAGAAACAGGACATAAGCCTACATAAGCCAAAGGGTGAAAGGTCTCAACACCTACAAAGAGAAATCAAACTAGAAGTTTTCTGAACAAGGGAATTAGATCACCCAAAAGAATTCTTTTGATCTCTGGAAAACAATATGCCTTAAGGCTCTCTCCTGTCAAAAAATCCAACTGAACACAAAAACACTGAACGTAGGATTCAGAAAGCAGGTTGCCATAAACTGGAACATGATCTGTTGGCTACTGTGCTCTAAACTTTACTTCTCCACATTTGCACACAGATATCATTCAGTCCGATGAATGTGGCAGTCAAATGTTTAACTGATTACATTTATCTCCAAAAACAAATCTGCACCATTCAGCTAACAGCTGTGAGCTACAAACTGTTGTGGTTCACATCAGAAGCCACCTTAAATTTGCTACATTTTAAACTGTTCGTAGTATATTTTCTCAGAATAAATATGGCACTGTAGCTTAACATTTTCAAAATTGTACCAGAATGTGAATTGCAATTGACGACCTGGTGATTACTCAGCTTAGCTGAGCATTTCTAATTCTCAGTAGAAGATCTCTGGGGGTGAATTTTCCAAGCATGTACGAAATTAGCTGAAAGACTTTCCACAGTTTTAATGAAACGGTGCAGCTAAAAACCTAGCTGCTATTTTGAAAGTTTAGGTGCAATTAGTGACCAAGAGCAACAACTATTCACCGTATGCTTTCTTACTCACTCAAGAAAGTTAAAAGAGAAAAATGGAGGGAATATCCCAAAAGGGTTGTTACCTTCATCTTGGTGGCACCTGGAGGTCGGGAGTCAAATTTAGAGGCTCTGTAACCAAGCTGGGAAAACAAAAAGAAGGACTTGAATTTCTGTAAAATGGGAACTGCAATGCCAAGGCCACAGTCAGCATCCCTTATGGTGCAGAAGCGCCACAGCGGGTGAGCCCGTGAAGCCTCCTGGCTTCCCAGATAGAAAGGCGTCTGAAGTGCTGGTGTCAGTGTTTCCTGTCATTTTAAAATTACTTTCTCACTCCTGCCACATTAAGATCTCCTGGATGTATCATAAACTACTTATTGAGGCTGTTCAGCTGGAAAATTGAAAAGAAAGCCTTTCAAGGGTTTTTTCCTCTCTGAAACAGGTGGGAAGATAGAAAACAGCACTTGATGGTTTCTTTTGTTTCACCCAGGATAAGCTTTTGAGAGTCTAGTGAATTTGCCGCCCAATAAAAGAATTATTTGTGTACATATACATTTAAATGAAGCCTGGAAATAGGGTAACAACAAAGGGAAGATGGTTGCTTTTCATAACTTGAGCTGTTCATTGGGAAACATCAAAACATATTTACCCTTTGAAAGTGTCAAAGCTTAACGCTGTATGTGATGAACCTACTTCAACAACCTGTGAAAGCATTGCAATTCCTCTATAAATATTGTGCAATCCAAAAAAAAATCATGCTAACAAAGAAACAGATTAGGCCACACAAAGCAAGAAGAAAGATGTAATCAAGTGGTTCATTTACAACTGAAACCATCAACCTCCAGCACATATTTTGCAAATCTTTTCCTGTATCTGCATTGTTTCAAGCTACCTCACCGTCCTTCAAGCAAATACCACTCCTAGGTTATAAATGAATTGAACTGGAATGAAATGTCAGTGTGCAATTTCTTTAAATAGACTTTCCATGCATTTAATTATTTTTATCTTAGAGGTTGTACATATACTTTTCATAAAAGAAGTTCAAGTATCTGGCCCAACATGATGGGCAGTACCACTGAATCTCTGTGCATAAAGAGGCTTTACAGACAAGGTGAGAGTAGAGGGAACAGCAAGAACAAAATCCAGAGGTCAGAAAATACAGAACACGTGCGGAACAACCAGCAGTTCAATTCTGCTGCACCGTAGGGTGCTAAAGGGTAATCGTGGAGAAAAGTATTGGGCTAGCTAAATTGATGTCATGTGGCTTGGGGTCTTAAATGTCAGGTCAAGAACCTGGGCTTTCCTATAAGTGATGCAGAGCCAGTGAAGGTACCCAGGCATGTAAGTGACATAAGTAATCTGCATTTCAAGAAAACCAATCTAACAGTAAGACAATGGATATGACAGGGATGATACTGATGGGAGGTGGGACATTCAGTAGAGACAGAGTTGAATGGAGGGAGGCAAGACTATGTTTTCATTCAGTAGGATGTGCTGGATTATACAGCCACGTACCCAGAGAGCACGCTTTCTGAGAGTAACAAGGAACCATAAGTTAATCAGTTGGCTTGGTGCCCCATCAGAGTGCTTAGTATGACTCACCGGTGTTACTGGGCCGCAGTGTCTTCCGTCAACCAGAACGCTATGGCCTCGGTTAGTCTTTGGGCCAACTGGGGGGCGGGGAGACAGGACTGGCCTGTTATTCTCTATAGTCCATCTCATGTGCTCTCCCTAAGAATGAGAAAGTGAATGAACAAACTGATGCAGAATTAGTCATGTAGGTTAAGTTTGTGCCCATCAAATAAGAGATTTTTTATGACTAAAAAAGTCCTTTCTCATTCTTTTCAAAAGTGTTCCTTCTGAGGACTATTGCGGTAGTCGGGAGACGGTTCCACAGCTGTACTGGGGAGCTGGGTGTGGTGGTGAGAGGCAGGTCACGGAGTACACTTTCTCCAAAGAAACAGCTGTGCTCAAAGTAATAGCTACAGATGCAGTGTATCCTTGGTTTTAGCAATAATAGACGTTAATCCACTTCAAGCAGATCACTACGAGAAGCACAACGTTCCTCACTTGTCTGATCAGTAGAAACTCCCAGAACATATTACTTTTCTGCCTTAAAAAATAATTACATAATGCCATTAGCACAGGGCTACATATTACATAAAGAGGACCTAAAATATAGGTCTTTCCCCAAGTGCAGTCATAAAGTGAAAACTGTTACAAGTTAAAACCGTACAAGGAGGAACTAGAGTGTCTCTCACGAATTTCTGCCAATGCCGAAACATGCCATGCACCACGTGAGCGTGTCTGGCAGTCTGGGCGAGAGTGAACAGAGGACTGCTTCAGGCAGTGCTGGTCACTCTTTACCTCCAGTGAACATTTTCTCCAACCACATCCAGAGAAATTACAGAATCCATAACTCAGCCCTTGATATAGGTCATTTCTGGCAAAGTTGACTTAACCACAAATCGCTACAAACCAACTTTCCTGATCTTGAGAAACAACCTGTCTTCTGTTATTTAACAACACTTTTATAACAAGAATATCTTTTGACCAAGATAAAATAGACAGATTTGAGTCTATCAGGCAAGAGGGAAAATTACTGTTTCCTATGGCAAGTTATTCTACAGAAGCTTTACGAATATTCATCAGTTTGTGAAATGTGTCTTAATCCCCGCACTTGTAATACGACACAAAATGAAGAAAAACATTTGGGTTTGAATGGCTCAAGAAATTGAGTAAAACTGCCAACCTAAACTGAAACCTCTCAAACATGCCTAATTGAATCTCTCAGCTCTTGATTTAAATGTATACATCTCATAAGTTCACTGCAAAGAAGGAATATCAAATACAAAAGTAGAAAACGAGGGATTTTTAAATGTCTTCACAAAATGTCTAAATCTTATGCTTTCCTACCATATATTTTCAAGGGCCACGATCACATGAAAATGTGCCATTGGATGGATAATTCTTAAAGTGCCGTGCTTTCCATCACATTGGGAACATCACAGTCTATTTTTACCTTCTTATGACAAACAAATCTTTTAGCCTCTATCACAAATCAATCAAGAAAATACAAAAGCAAAATTTCAAACTTGAGAAGAATGTTTTCAGGTTTTTCTTGGAATGATTTGTGCCTCATACGATTTTTTTATGTTTTCTTTTTAACTGAAGCATAGTTGATTTACAATGTGTTAATTTTGGTGTACAGCATGGTGATTCATTTATATATATATAATATATATATATATATAT